GTAATAGTTAGGAAGACAAACTCAAATAATTTTGGTTTAAAAGAAAATATCTCTAATATTATTTCTTTCTGGAGGCCAGAAGATACATGTAGTTCAGCCTGCACTGGAATATTCAATAATTTAATTTCTATTTTATAAAGGGAAGGGCAAAATCTGCATTACTTTATCCAATCTTAGGACTGTTTTATGTCAGATGAAACAAAACATTCATTGAAGTTAAAAGAAATTTTAGTGAGACAAACAAGAAAGAAGCGAGAGAGAGACTATGGGTTATACAGAAATGTTCAGACTGGTATAAATGGAAAGACTTCAGGAAAACAAGTGGCAGGTGTTTGAGGGCAGGGAAGAAGGGACAGGACTCTCTCTAGCTGGGAGAGAGATCGCGTTTTAAAGTTGAGCAAGCTTTCTTACTTGGGGCTTGAAACTTGACAGTAGCTTACAAATAATCCTGCGGCAATAAGGAAAGGAAGGTAGTGAGCCAAAAAATCAGTTTTGACGACGACTCTGTAAGTTGATTTGATTTTGTAGGACTTGGCAAGTCACTTAAGAAACTGAAGAGTTATCAAAACATAGAACAAGCTCTTAAAAGTTTCTTTATTTGTATTAATAGTTACTATTATTACTCAGTTTCAGATTTTCAACCATTTTTGCCACTGCTATTTTCCATTATGCTGTGTTTGGATGAGGAAAACTTGCTAGTTGGTCGAATTCATTACAAACATGTTTTCAGCCAGTTTCTTTTTCTAAGCATTGTAATGAAACAAGAATGAATGTCTGTACTCGATCGTGCTGTTTATTACAGCTCCCTTTTCCCCACATCTCTTACATACACACAGCCACTCATTCAAATCCGTAAAATGATCTAAAGACGCCTGGCAATGTGCACCTGAGAGACAGGTGAGAGAAAACATCTGCTACGGTCAACTCAATTTCACAACTGCAACAGTCTTTAACCTCACCTCAAAATAAAATGCCGAATATTTAAGTTTCTAACACACACTAACATGCACAGCACACACACTGCCATAAAAAGAGCCCATTTCTCCCATCCTCTGAATAAGTTCCATTAAAACTAACCATAACCTGTTTGAATTCAACTATGGGTCTGCAGATTATGCATGCAAACTCTACATATATTCTATATACTTCTGCTTTTTGGCACTTTCACTCATCAAGTAGACAAGCAGTAATGACACTTTCTAAATAATTAGTAATATTGATTTGGTTCTTCTGCATATTTCTAAGGTCAATTCATCGAAATGTACTACCATCAGAGTTATCACTTCTCATGATAGCATGACAGCCACAAAAAATAACCTATACTCAAGATTAAGAGAATTGCTTCCAGTTCTTCAGAAAAGAAGTTATCTACTTTTAGAATCCTCTTCAGAAACTCCTAAAATAATTTTAGTAAGGCCCTGATGAGAGTATTTTATTTTATAAGGTTTCCGATTGTATAAAGCTTAACAAACAGCGTATTGAACAACAAGCTCAAATGTACAGACATCTGCGGAAGAACTGATCACAGTCACACCAGTGCCAATACAGACAATGTGGCTTGATGGGGGACCAGGGGAGGGGATAGAAAAAGACATAAAAGACAGTCATTGGTTACAGAGGCATAGTTATTACTTAATGCACTCTGCTTTCAAGATGAATCTTTAAATTGAATGAATCTAAATAACAGAGGGTTCTAAAGAATAAGAAATTGGGTTTGAAACAGCATTGTGAAGGTATCCAGCAGCACCATAACAAAGTCATTTCTTTAGGGGACAGTTGTAGCTTCAAAGGAAAGATTTGCCTAGGGCAGAAGCTCAGCACAGAATCTGCAACCTTGATTTTTAATTAGGTAAATTTTGAAAGCAAAAATCTTTGCTATTCCAAAAAGAAGTTTTCTACTTTAAGGTACATGAACTGATAAAATAATTGATCATTCTTGGTTGGTGATAACAGTAGCTAAAATATTTAGATATTAGCCTGTTTTCAATGCGGTACCTCTGGTAACGCCAACAAGAGCTTTGCTGCCCAATCAGCAGCACCTCAGAGTCCACAACGTTTGCAGGACAAAAGCCACCTTTATAATTAGATTAAATCTCTATTTTCAGAAACCTACTCACAGGTAGACTATTCCCATATAAACACATAAAATACCTGCAAATACCACCTAGTTAACCTTTGACACCACGAAGTGTGCAAACACAGCAGCAGCAGCAGAATTCAAGAAACCTCGTTTCCTCAAGCAAAGTGTAGGTTCCTCTTGTGTCTACTAAAATAGTCAGATTTATACCACAGCTTTTGCATGAGAGCAGAAGCAGAAGGATGGGAGGCGAGGCACAGATATGGTCATTCTTTTGTGAATTTTCACAATATTTTAAGGAATTTAATAATGCTAAGATCTCTAACTCTCTCAGATTCAGCAGATAAGGGGCAACACAGCAAAAATTATTCGGGTGACAAGGAAGATGGAAAGGCAAGCAGAGAGGGCACATTGGGAATAAACTAGGCTAAAATTAAATGTCTAATCATTCTGCCTAGCCTAAAATAGTTTGAAAAACTCAGAGTTTCAGATAGCAACAAGCATTCTGTCTGTGAAAATGAAGCCAATTCAAAACACTTCAAGAGGCTTCAAAAGAAGAACAAAGACTGACATTACTCTAAGGGAAGGCACTGAACCTTTCAGCATTTGATGGAGTGCAGGTTAACAGCTGGTTTTCTCGAGGCAGCACTGCAGCAGGCAGACACCACTCTGGGCTTCAAGCAGCAGTGGAAGAAAATGTCTGCAAACCAACCACCACCATTTTTAAGTCAGTGTGTTTAAGCCAGTCTTGTACAGGATTAGGCAAGACAGCAGTAAAAATGCCAGTGGCTCATTACTATCCACACACCCATTTTCTCCTGAAACCGAAGCAGCTACCTCAGGGTTAGAATAGAAAGAGAGTATTTTCAGGCAAAACTCTGCGTGATGCTCAGTCAGTTACAGACTTGTAAGCGTGGCATCTTCAACGCTGGCCCTGAAAAATCAGAATCGATTTTCAAGAATTTTCATGAGGTCATCTGCTTGGCTCCAGAGAGGATACTCACACATCTATTTGGATTTCTCCATGATGTGAGCTTTAGGGGATATGCGAGCAGAGAAGGAGGCAAAGAAGAGTGATGGTGAGGAAGGGAGTGAGATGGTGCTTTAAACCAAAGGCAGGGGCATCATCTCCAGCACACAGATACATGTGCACACTTTTGCTTCACATTCACATGCATTTTGTGTATGCATTATAAAACCAAATAAAACATGCTCTTAACATTTGGGCTTGGAGCAGCTTTTCATCTGCCTCACAATTTTATGAACACTTTAAAATATATGAAAACAGACAGCATACTCAGAATACGATTAAGTTCGTAATAAGGAGAATCTGGAAGCAGGTACACAGAGTACAAAGACACCTGAAAGAATACTGCTCCCTTTTTCATACAATAATTAAACATTAACTCTGACCCCTACGATATTGTTTACACGTGAGCATACCAGCTGTATACATGGGCCTGTTACTCCTCGCGCACATCACCAACACTAAGATCTTGTATTTTTGTCATCACCAGAACCCTGATTCTTCCCAACTCTGCCTCAAAGATCTGGACACCTTCAGCTCACACCTGGGACACTTACTAGAGCTGTGCTCAGGGAGATCTAGGAGATCTGATAACACCAAGGACTCCAAAAGCTTCATTCTGATCAAGCATCTTCTCCAGTCACTGTTCATTATTCTTATACAAGAACGAAGATACCGAAAAGGTCTTTCTTCGTTCATTTCCAACACTTCTGCAGCCTCACATTGTCAGACTAATTCACAAAGTCCATGCCTACTGCATCCATTTAGTGGCTACTAATTTAGTTAGTGCCTACTAATCCAACAGATAGGTGGTCTTTCCAACCTGTCTCTCTGATACATATACAGAGTGGAACACAGGCTAAATTCTGTACTTACAACTGAGGAAAGAAGATACAATGAATATGAAGTCAGAGCTGAGAAAACCTTGTGTGCTATAAAAACAACCATAATGCCTAATATATATAGCCCTCTGAGGAGAAGTTACCAACTTATGCACATAATTACAACAAAAAAGGCAAAGAAAACCAAAAATCAGTCCAACAAGAAAAAGAAACCGAGAAATACAGACCTTAGGAGACCAGCTACAGGTTTTCTGATGCACATTATAAATGCATAAATTGACCATGCATCAGTACATCATGCATAAACCAGGGACTACATAAGGAACTATCAAAAGGCACAAGGGAATTGGCACAGCAAAAAGGAAATGAGCCTTTACAGTCTGCATTAGCCACTGTCACATTGCTGAATAATATATCATCTTAAAAGTATTTGGTAAGATGATAACTAATCAGCATTATAAAAACAATGCAGCAATTCTTCTGGTCTCTTAATTAGGCTTGCAAAAAATCCATATGGTCCTTTACTGTTTACAGAGGGGTATTACCCTGGGATTTTGGAAGACATTATTTGTATGAGTCAAAAATAAGCTTGGCTTCATTGCTGAATCTCTGTCTTGGCAGGGGATTTCAATTCCAAATTCTCAGGGAAGGAGAACAGTCGTGTGTGTCCTGCCCCCATTTCAAGTGACAGTTCAAAAGTAGGAATTTCTACCCTTCTATATTTCAAGTATCCACCAGATTATTCAACTGAAAACACATCAACTCGTCCTTACCCCAATACAGTAACCATGACTTTATTTTTAAACAGGCCTCATCCTATTGAATGCCACCAAACATGTACCTTATCCTTTAGCTCAAATATATTTTGCATGACCTTACATGAATTGCTTAGATAAAAGCCTTTTTTCTTCTACTTTTGTTATTTTAAAGTGCAGATGCATTTGAGTCATTTTCCCCTTTTGTTTCATATCCTTAAGATCCACAGCTTCAAAGACAAAATGTCAGCATGCAGTCGATTTATGACTGAACTCTTGAAGAGACACTGAAGAATTACCTTGTCAATCACCCCAAGGACTCTGAAGGCCTTCAGTTCCTCGGCAGGGCTCCTTAGGTTCCAAGAGGGCCTTGAACTTAGTGATCCTCGAGGCTAATGGAAGATATCAAAGATTATACATCAATCAGGGTGGTACTTGAAGGAAGACTGCCTGCTGAAGCAAATGCCAGGCCGAAGGAAACTAAATTTATCATAAATCAGAGAGAGTGAAGATGAAAGGAGAAGTTTTCTGTTTGTCCTTAGTTGGGGGGAAGGGGGAGGGGGAACTTGCAAGTAAATAAAAATCAAGATAACATTGAGAACAAAAATTTTAAAAGAAAAAATAATGAATTTTTATATTTTCTACGTTTAACGGAACCTGGCAATCGATTACTCAATTCTTACCCCATCACAATAATCAATCAAAGCCTTACAGGTATTCTGGATACAAAATAATTCAGAGATCACTGAGGAGGAGAAAGCAAATCAGAGGCTTTTTAAGTCTGAAGAACATAAAATACAGAATTATAAACAGGGTTCTCTGGTGAGCTTTATGAAATCCTTTTAATAACAAGGTGCACAATAGAAACGATTCCTAAAACTGCCTTAGAAAAAGGTAGCTAGCCATGTATCATTAATCTAGAAATTAACACCATAGCAAGAGAATTGGCAGGTCCTAACTATTCAAGTAGTTAATACACATGGATTTTTGTCCGTGCTATGTTTTGTAGTTTCTCAGGGCAGACTCAAAGCTTGCACGTCAAAGGAGGGAACAACGTTTCAACTGGAAGTCTTCTGGGACAAAGATCAACCTCTTAAGCATCACATACACCTCTGGCACATTAACAAACATTTTCAGAAGTTTCTAGTTGCCAACTGAGAGAATTCATTAGATCCTCCTCCAAAAATTCAACATGCAGCTTCTAGTAGAACCACAGACCTGGATTTCTTCCTCACAAATAAGGTAACTTCATTTGTAGAGTTGTTGAATGCCAAACTCTTTTTAAGCATAACCTGGCCTCCCCAAGTACGCTTCCATTGCACAAAGGTAAAGGAAGAGGAAGGTGAAACTCCTTGATTTTTAGGCTTCTAAGAGGCAAAAGCTGTTTATCTAATTTGTCAGCATCCTGAGGCAATATTTAATAAATATGTCACAAAGGAAAACTGCTGGTAAGCAATTATGCTGATGAAGTGTTTAAGTATCAGGAAGAATCACAAAATTTTCCCTTATGATCAGAAATTCCCAGAAAAACTGAAGATCCTGAACTTCCTCCCTGTGTTTCCCCTCCAACATCTTTACTGTGCTATCCTCCAAGTCCAGAGCACCTCCCCAAAGCCCTCCCCGAAACTGGCTCCCCTTCATGTTGCCAGTCAACCACCTTCTCTCCTTCCAAATTCTTTCCCAAAAATCAACTCTTGTTTTAGCATTGCCTGCAAAATTAAGCAGAAAGGTTCAAAAACACATGTTCAAAAAGCATTTTGCTTTTCTTTTGTGTTCACCTACTGGGCTCTATGTTAAAAAGAGTTTATTATTTATCTTCATTTATCTATCTGGGTCTTATAATTATTTTGTCATGTAAGCACTGCTGAGCAAGAGTGCCAACAGCAGTTAAGAGAAAACAGCCCAGATTCCACAAATCACTGAAGGTTTTAGTACAAAGAAGAAAAAAAACGCTACACGAAGTTTTTCTCCAAACCTAATTTAGGTTCCACATTACAGTGAGCTGTTGGAAGGTTGAGGGAGTTCTTTTGTTGGGTTGTATTTTAGGAGTGTGCAATTTTTCTGCAGTAACGAAATATTTGCTTTGAAACAAAGAGTTGTGCTAACACAGAGTTTATTCATGACAAGATTTCAAAAGCATTCTAAGGAATACATTTAATGAAAGAGAGTATTTCCAAATCCTCTAGACTACTATAAAAGATTTCCACTTCTATCTGCATGCTATTACATTTTATAACCATTCCTCCATAATCAAGCTTTTAAAATTTTCTCTTATGCATAACATTTAAACCAGGTATTAAGTTCATACATCTCTACAGAAGTTAATAGTTGTCTAATAATGCTATAGAATCAGACTTCTGCACCCATCATGTCTGAAGAGCCCCAAAAAAACAGTACATCTTTTTGGATCCTTCTCTCAAATATCACCGACGGTGGCGCAGTCAGTATTACTGTGTACACACATTGTTTTCCATATACACATTCTACAGTCACTTCTTACCTTAAAATGATTAATAATCACATCCACATCTCCACAGCTCCCAGCAGCTTCTCCATTTTTACCAGTTTCAGGTTATTTTTTGCTCTTTACTTTGGTTTCACTGTTGCAAAGTCTAATAGTGGAGCCCAGTGATGAGGAGGCATGACATTCTGTTGTGAAGCAAGCCGGAAGCAAACTCTAAATACCCAATTCCGAGAACTACAGCAATTAAGCGCTCTATGAAGCTGCCTGCTCCTCTGAATAGAGTAAAAATGCAAGCTCACATCTAGCCAGCGATAAGAAAAATAACTAAAAAACAGCGCTCTCATCAAAAATAGAGGAACAAAAAAAAAACCAGGAAGAAGAATAAAAAAAACTCAAAGGCTTCATTTGCCTTTAGAAATACGGCATTTATATTCTAAAGAAAGTGGCAGGCTACCCCTGCCTGCAGAAGGCCTTCAGCAGCCTGTCCAAATGCTCAGCATGCTGCTCAGGTATCCCAGGACCTTCTCTCTTGTGGCTAGGCCCTAAATGTTTTGAAACTATTTCCAGAGTACACAGAGCTGCACAGCTGGAGTTAAGCGACTTGGGATTGGTGTCACCAGTTCCTTTCCCACCATCAGCTTTTGGCTGGCATATGCTAATTTCAAGTGGAAAGGACGACGCTGATTGTGATGCTGGCCTCTGCAAAGACCCAGCAGCTTGTGGCCACCACTTGCCTTCAGAAGGCTCTAGTTCTGCAAGCTACACAATGAAGTATGTCAATAGCTCTTGCCTCAGCTTTGGCATCACTGCCAGCATTTATAAGAGCAGGGGGAGAAAGAGAAGTACACCACCAGCCAAGCAGAGGAAGAGCCTCTCATGTTAGCCTCATTTAAGGCAAGAGCACTATCCCTAGCCCAGTAACACAAACACCATTTGATGGAAAATGATTCTACTGCTGATGCTGCCATCTTTGACAGCAGTCACCACAGAACCTCAGGATAAAAAAAGAGCACTTTCACAAACACCAATGCAGAGCTGCACATCAACCTCACCATTCAGAGGTCTGTGTCTGATGACTTCAGTAACCGCCCCCTGTAGCATGGCCAGACCCTCAACTGCAACAAGGAGATGCCTTGTTTTGAAGCAGATACTGCTGGCGTGAGGTGCAAGGCTCCACACCACGGGTGTGAAAGAGCTTCCAGTTCTCCTGGCCTGGCAGAACATCCAGGCCCCTTCCTCACTCGGCACCACGGGAAAACAAGGTTGCATCTCTGCGCGCATCTGAACGCAGACAGAGCTATGGTGTGCTTCAGAAGGTCCTCAGTGATCACCAATTTGGGACTGCATCTTCCCTGAAGCTGGGACACATCTGGGGTCATGCACATCTGGAACCAGCAGCAGACAGGAATGCAGAATGTGATCTTGGAAGCCTTGAGACTCAATTTCTTATTTTATGTTAAATTTACATCTCACAGAACTACAGCAGTATATTTTCTTTACACTTCATGTGATTTTCATGCACATTTAATCAGAATTTTAGGAAGTAAGATATCCTATGAAAACTGCAAAGACTGAAGACTGCTTTTCCTGTTTGGGCATCAGGCTTGCATGTAACTCTTGTTACTAAATTGCTTTGAAAATCAAAAATAATTGACATTTTAAAAGACAACAGCTTTTATAGCAGTGCAAAAAGACACAATTCTGAATATAAAAATTTGGGCATAAGTAGAACCAGAAATAATTTCAAAGAGTGAAAAAAAGATGCATTATAAAAACATCAACGTAGTTAAAACAGACCCACAGCCTGCGCGTGTAGCTGTGCTGGGCATCACATCTGACAGCTATGTAAGACTGCATCTTTCTGACGGTCAATCCAGTGTGATTCAAGGCTATTGCTGCAGCTCCCACTCAGACTTGGAGGTGGCTCCCCAGAGCTGCTACTTATAAAGGGGCAGAGGAGAAAAAACAGCTTGAGAATCTGCAAAGTGGCCTGCTGCTGCCATCACACAGCTGCCATCACACAGCATTTTTGAGCAGTTGTTGTCGAGAAGACCCTTCAGGCTGCCGTGCTGTGCCAGAAGAGGAAGAGAAGGACAACGTTTGCTGCACCTTGTTTTTCCAGAAGGTCTGCATGCCTATTTACAACCTCCAGAAGCTGTCTCCGCATCTCCCACTCCTACAGGTCACAGCAAGGCTTTTCTCAATGTTTACAAGACCCTGCCAAGTGAGTTCCCAGTTCACAGTCAGTCATAGTTGTGTCAGTTCCCTGTGCTTTTTTTCAGCCTTAAGAAATCTTCTATCCATCCTTAAGCCCGTAACCTTTTTTTAACAGCGCCAAGGGTTCTCCAAACACCTCCTCTTGTGCTCCTCTCTTCACCACTCAGACTTGCCAGCAGGGTGGTTGCTAAGGATGCTATCCTTGAGGGCTACACTGTTGCCTTTTTGTTGAGACAAGAAAAGAAACAAACTACTGTTGTTCTTTGTTTGGTTTCCATGGCATCAAAGATAATTTTTGCTTCTCAGCTCTGAAATGCCAGGCCTTCACCTCTAGGGAAATCTGGTCTTCGAAGAGGCAAGTGCCTGGCATTCTGGGCCGCAGAAGAATAGCTCACTTCCCTCTGCCCCAGGTCCCCAGAGAAAAGCTGCCGTGCTTTACCACCACGTGGTGTTCAGATGGCAAATGGGTGGCTTGGGGTGTGTTTAGCAGGCATAGTCTTTTGAGACTGCTGCACATGGTTGAGCACACACTTGGCAGCCCGAGCTTTTGGGAGATACGAGAGGCTGAGGAGTGCAGGACAGTAATTGAACCTGCACTTCTGAGCTTATGTCTTCCCTTACTGGACATTTCTCTGGCCAGGTGGATGAGAAAGTAGAAAAATGTAATGTCTAAGAAGGCCAGGTGAGCCTAGTTTTGATGCCTATCACTGTGGTTGTTCCTTGTAAGGGCACAATAGGAAACACAAAGCTGTCTACACCAGACATGGGTGACAAAGCAGTTCTGCCTTGTAACATCAGGTCATGAACAAGAACACTTTGTCTTAAATGCCGATGCTTGCTTACTAGTCAGACCTCTTCCTCCAAAGTGCAAACAGTCTCAACGCCCCCGCTGGCCATGAAGTTCCCTGCACTGAACCATGCTTCCCCTAACCAAAATGCACTCTGCCCATTGTAATAGAGGCACAGGTATTGCTAGGGTAGTATTTGTCCATCATTTTCTTGCAAACCAATTTCAGTTAAATGGTTCAGACTGTGCTGGGCTAACAGGTGTAACAGCACTTGGCCATGCTTCTAGGAAAGGCTTCCTAAGTGTACCAACACAGTGATTCTTCTCAAAGACTTCAGTGTCCCTCCAGCACAGAAGTAGTCATGAGAGACCTCTTTACAGATTCATGTGAGCAAAGAAGGCATTGTACAGTGTTATTTAAACATCTGCATTTATACCCTGTCCAAGCACCAGCATTTGAACAAGGGATGGTATCAGTCAGCATGACCTACAGCAGTAGGAGGTGCTAGTGGTAACAGACCAGCCTTGCCCCAGCATGACCAAAGGCACGTAAATAGCAGTTAGAGAAGCATCAAGCTGGTGTGAAGTGATGGTGCAAGGGGGCATACGCATTAACCTTGTACATTATAGACTTAATTTCTTTAGGAAAAGGACGCAAAATATCTGCATGTTTCCACTAGTATCTCCCAAGAATCACACTGTATACAGATGCAGGTCATTTCAGTGTACTTATCACTGTCTGCATGGGGTGGAATAATTCACGCAAATTCCAATATAAACTATCTTGGGCAGTAAAAAGGATAAGCAGTAACTGAGGTGAAAGAATTCAGGTCTGCTCAGCAACCAGCGTGCAGGAAGAGTCACATTCCTCACTTTCCTTAAGACACTAAGCCAAAGCACAGAGCGTGCCAATTCTTAGTGGTTCCTACCACCACCCTTACAATAACTTCGGGAGATAAGTCCTTCTCTTGATTAACTTTCAGCTATCAACCTGGAGACAAGCTGTTCCTCACCACAACCATTATGACCCATCAGCACCATCAGCCCTTGATGCCAACAAATTCCAAAGCTCTAAGATAAAAGTCAAGTTTATGCATTATGAAAAGCAAATAAAACATACTAAAATACACATACAGACTTAGGTAAAACAAAGCCAAATTGTGGAAACATGGCTTTTTTGGTAAAAAGGAGAATAAGCCAGGTGCAACATTTTGCTTGTGCAAAGTCATATTTGCCCTAACTTGTCAATTTTGATTTTCAACACAGAAGGAGAATGGTATTCTATTCTCACTACTTTTTTTTTCTTGTCGTATCCCAATTAATCCTGCTTTCCTTTGGATCTGCAAAGGAGGCATGTGACTTATTCAGTACAGCATAAAAGAGGAAATACTTTACCTCTCAAGCTCACATACAAAAATGCAACCTATTTCTCCCTCCTTCCCAACCACAATTAGTTTTTAAACTTACAAAAAGGCAAAAATAGGTTGTTAATGGTTTTTTTCTTGTTCTGCAGTTTCCAAACACACTGAGGTTTTCATTCAACATAAATTCTTCCCCATTTTCAGGGGTGTTTGACCCAAAGAAAGACTACCTAGTAGGAGTTCATATCAGTCCAAAATACTAAATTGTTCAAAGTACAATTCATAGCAGCAGCAAGACTCCAAATCTCACAAAATATATCCCATTTGGAACATCCTCAAAATTGTTACTTGTGGGCTCTCAACATAAAAAAAGCTACCCTTCAAAATCAGTGTTTTTGCTTTTTTAATTTACTTATTGGGCAGTCAGATTTTATAAGGCTTCCTATTTTTGCAGCAGTGGTCTCCTTAAAGCATTTTTAGATCTGTGCAAAATAAGCAGCAATAATCTTCTGCCCCTTTTGTCCTCACTTGATATAAATGTAGAGAGATAGGAAGTTGGTAACTTTTATATTCTACAATAGGGCGGTCATTGACAATCACACACAGTTTAGCATGACTGCAATAGAAGTCTAAAGTAAGAACAGAAAGTCCCAAAGGAATTGGTTGGGGAAGGGCAAAGTAGAAATTTATTGAGGGTACCTTGGAATAAGCTTTGTTTCTCTTTTGTACAAGTACAGGTAAGGGTGTTTCTGCTTAAGAAGGTGGGAATTACTACAGAAGCTCCTCAAAAATCAAGAAGCAGCTGATCACTCAAGCTCATCCAAGAGAGACATCTGAAGGGATCAGGAAGAACCTTTGCTGAATTAAGTACTTACTTTGTGGGAAATTCATCTCTCATCCCACCGCCATGTGCCTGACTCACTTCTGATACACCATTATATGCTAGGCTAAAGAAACCAACAGCCTTTCTGGTCCCTACAGGACCAAGCAACATTCTCATGGGAAAGTCAAAAGAAATATTACATTCTGGTGGGGTTTTTTGCTTTACCTTTAAATTCTTTAGCGTGATTAAAAATGTTTACATCATTAATTGCCGAGTAGAAGGAAAGCATGCGAACAAACAGGCCTGGATTAAATCAAGCACTCCTTGTAAAGCTACGAAATGCAACCAACAAGAATCAGAAAAGAACAGCAACTTAACAAAACCATAACATCAAAATACTCCTCAGGCCTCCTGAAAGAGAGAAATTCTAGACAGTTTTTGAACCTCAAGCTCGAATATGTTTTGCTAAAAGACAGGACAATTCAATTATACCAAATTCTGGCTCAGAAAAAAGAAACTAAAGCTTACCATAGAAACAGATGCATCTTCAGAGGATTTATGGTAGAGACTGGAAATTTTTTCTGCACGCATAAGGTATTCTGCAGTCTTCCTTTTCACTGCTTCTCGACGAGTTGGACTTGATTCACCTCAATGGAGAAAAAGGAAGTTATTTTTTCTATAGAGAGCGAGGTATTAAGTAATCAAAGCACATCACTCCTTTGATTCTACCTTTTTTATTTCCTTTGGGTTATTCATAATCGAACCTACAGATATGCATCTTATAAAAAGCAAGTACTATGATATCAGAGTTCTACAAAAATAACAATTTAAGCCTTGCTATAGACTAAGGTAAATAAAAAGTCTTACCTCATTTTTCTGTGATTTGGAATATGTTCCTATGGTAACATAAGTAAGAACTGAAACAAACAACTGATCTGAACATTGTACCCCAAAAAAAACTCAATTAGGGAAGACACGATAAGACATTTACAACAAAACAATAAACGTGGTTTTTGCTCATGTTTCTAATATGGGCTTTCCTAAGGATAAAAGAGAGTCAGAAATGCTATCAATAGCCAGAAGGCAACATGAGAAACACCAAGAACTCTTGCTCACAGCTTTCCAATGCTACCTGCGCTCTTTGCCTGCTAGTTTGGGGTGACACAGGAAGAAATGAAGAAGCGCTTGCACCAACTGCTTTACTTCCCAGATGGCTGCACAACCTTTGTGTTATATCTAATCTATCCAAGCTCTTGGAAGAGGTGAGAATACTGTAATACCACACAAATTCTGTATTCACTCTAAAACTTACAGTTTATGTAAGTTTTCATGTTTACATCATGAGCAGTATATTGTTATAATAGATTCAATTTGTGATGACACCACCTAACCATTCAACCACCAAGCAAAGATAAAAAGATTGTGAGCCACAACTGTTATAACAGAGAATTGAGATTACTATGCTGAAAAATAGTTACAGACAACTGTCCCAGAAGAAGCCTGAGCAATAGCAGAGAGTTCATATGGCCCTGACAGTCTCTTCTAGCTGTAAATGAGGCCACCCAAGACTTGCAGAAACACAGCCTTGGCTGTGACAGGCTTCTGCACCAACAGATGCAGCAGCACCTCTCGCAAACCGATGCTCAAACAGAGCAAGGAACTGCAAGGATATCTTGCTGCTCAACATGAAAAACAAGGTAAGGAACAGGAGAGGTAATAAATTAAACACGCAAATACACAAACCCTAACAAACAGCAGATAACAGAGACAATAACAAAGACTAGAACTCCTAAGACACTGATCAATGGGCCATGGAAGGAACCTCTGAGTGTGACCTTGAAGAAGTTCAACCAGCAACTTGGTAACCGATAAGAAAAAAAAAGAGGATTATTGTGGGTTATTAAGAATGAGTCTCATAAAAAAGAGAAAACTTATTATGGGATGTCTGAGGGAGAACTTACTCTTTAAACGCTTGCATGCAAAACATACTGTGGCAGGTTTTCAGCCGGGATTGTGACAATGTGTAAGACGTTGTGAGATGTTTAGGAGCAGGATTAAAGGTGAGGAAAGGGAGGGTTCAAGGTGGAGGGGGGTCACAAGCATGAGAAAACAGAGGTGGGAATTGCATGGGCTGATGGTGTGTAACAGGCTGCTGGTCAATACACCTGTTTGAGTGAGCCCTGTACCTGACCACCACTGTCTGTCTTACCTTCTTATTAAACTCTACTCCTCACCGCTTTCTGCATGAGCGTGCTCATTATTCTCTGTGCATAAGATACACCAACAATCTTCAAGCCAGATAAGCAGACAAGTCAGACAAAATGTCTGAGAGCTGGATCATGGAGCTGGGAGACAGCTACCAGAAAGACCTGAACAGCAGGTCTTTCCCTGACCAGCAATAGTTCAAAAGAGGTTGGTCTGTTCAACACTGTCTGTGGTTATCTAGGTGTCTCTAAAGGCAGTATCCTTCTGCCTGTGTCAATCTGCTTGTGGTCAACCATGTCCATACAGAGTACGTGCGTGCACATGCAAGCCCCTCTCAGAAATTTGCACTCAGCTTCACTACTGGTAGGACCCGAAGAAGGGGTAAGCTGCAGCCGCATCTCTCCAGCAGCTGAGGGCAGGAGGAATCGCTCTGATCCTTCAGTCAGCCGGATCTGGCTAGCTTTAACACGGACTCCTTAATAAAGGACAAGTAGCAGGCTGTCTGACTGCTCAATTTTCCCAAAATACTTTCAAGATGGCAGATAATAATGAAAAACTAAGTACGAGGTCTCTTCAGAAAGTTCGTGGAGAGTTCCTCTGGTGTAGGCTCTCAGACCTGCTGTTTTCCCCCTGACCCATGCAAGAGGGAATGAATCATTGCTCTTGCTTTTAACAATCCTTAGACTCAGAGAGTGAAGAAGGCGGAGGCTCTTTTCCACTTTATATTGCCATGATCTACTACTAGTCATTTTGACCCTGTTAAAATAAAGATTCCCCCTCCCTTTCGTATCATGACTACAAACCACCTAAACACACAGAACCATCACACAGACTCCATCAAGAATAAGTAGAAGAGACTTATGATCTACTCCAAGCTCTGCTGTAAGTGATCTATTGTAAATCTTATTATTCACCTCACAGCAGGAGGAAAAAGTGATTGCCACCTCCTTGGATGGAGACACACAACCCTGCTCTGCAAACACCTTGGATTACACTCGGTTTGGGAAGAAGCTGGACAGTCAGAAATTCAGTGCGCTTTCAGCATACAATATTATGGATATGTAACAATTTCTCAGTAATTTCTCTCATTCTAAAGACAGAGGGGACTTTGTACCAGGTCCAGCACCTCTAATATCAGCCTCCACTTGGTAGGACTCATCTGGGGAAATTCCCCTAGATGAGACTGCCAGTCTTATTCCCATCTAGGATTAAAAAAAAAAAAATAAAAATAACATTCAATTGTTTGCACTTGGATTTGGCTTTATCAGAAGATAATAGATACACAGTATTTTATAAATGTGTGTTGCAATTTCTTAAAACACGACTAACGCTCTTGCTTTCATCTCTACATTTAATCTTACGGCACCATAAAACTTTGTGCCGATCCACTGGTGATCACCCACATTCTCTTAGACACACGAAGTGGTAGTCGCTCAGGGAAAACAAGTCATCTGCACAGCAACAATGAACTCTTCAGCCAGTGTTTTCTTCAAGCAGACTGGTAGAAAACTGCTAGGTTAGTATCTAAGGCTATCATAAAAGTCAAGCTTACTGCTTAGTTGTTAGCTATGTGTATTTAGTTGGGATGTTTATTGCCTTTTTTCAATGCTTCAGTAATTTTACAGTAATTAACACAAACAAGCTAGGATGTCCCCTTAGAGCTGTCTTTGTTCTCCCTACTTTCACAAGACATTAATATCGGTTTTCCTTCTACTCTTCCTTCCTAACTAATTTGTTAAATAACATTTGCAAACTGTTCACTCATTAAAATCTTCAACCATAAAAAAGGGTGTGGATTCACAAAACAACATTTACTCAACAAGTTCTTGCATCTTATTTGTGAATAAGATCATTAATAGTTCAGTCTCTGAATACTGTAACAGGTGGATGTTTGAGAATTGGATTTATGGAAGTAGGATTTTGGCTTTTTATTCTTTAAATCAGTTTGACCAAGAAAAATGTAAAAAGCTACATTCCAATACAAATTCCCATTTAAACAGCCAATATCTCACAAAAATCTGTAAAGAAACTCAGGATATGAATTTAAAAAAAAGAAAAAAAAAATGTTACTTAAAAAGCCTTAAACACAGGGTGATGAGTAATATTAAAGACCCCATAAACTAAAAATAATCTTTAGCATTTATGCCAAATTTCAGGTCATAGAACTTTTCACTTAAAACCTAATAAATCACTAAAACACAGTACTAGAACAAATCCTTATATTTGACAGATGTTAAAGCTGTAATGCAGACTTCATGTTTTTTTTTAAAGGCAATATTGCATTTTGTTATGGGATAGTGTTTTTAGTTATAGAAAATGTGTACTCTTAAAAGAATCCAGTAATTTATTCCTAGTTAAGACCTTTTGATTTAAACACTGTGTGAACATACTGAGCTCCTATTTCCATTCTGTGGTTAGCCCACAATAATCTAAAGAGGTATCTCTCTTTAATTACAATTTATAACTTGAAAGGCATTTTTCTTTAAATGGCAGCAAACAGGAAATGTTTAAACTGTGTCAAAGCCTTTGATGAATCTTTACAACTGCTCATAAAAGATCATCCTGCTTAAAATAATATTGATTTTTCATTTATTTTCCTAGATACTAGAAGATTTACGTTTCATCTGATCAGGATCAAAGCTTCTCCCCCCTCCTGATCACCGGGATTAAATCAGCAATGTCATTTTACATGTTTAAAAACTACACTGCTAAAGCGAGATATAAAAGTGTAGCAAGGCTGATCATAGAGACCTTAAAATAAAAACCCCTCAAGATTCCCCATCTTTCTCCCTCTCTCTCCCTCTGCATTTGCTATGGAGCAGCTGTGCCTCACACAGATTCACATGAATGAAAATATTAAGGCGAGAAACCACCCACTTAGTTTATTTTCCATATGACTTTCCTGTAATTATTTTGTAAACTGTTCACACAACAATATATAAAAACATCTGCAAAAACAGGTAATTAATGTGTCAAGCCAAACTAATGCATTTTTTATGGTGTCCATGCTTCGTCAACTGTAATTATAACTCTTTTTAAGCAAATGATGATGTGTTTGTTGCAATGTGCAAGTGGTTATTTTAGATGCTCTGTTTACTATTACTGCAAACAGAATATAAAAACTCTACAGCTACTTTGTTGCACATATAAGCCTTCATCTACACAAGCACAAGCAGGCTACTCCCTCATTTTCCAAAGGCTTTGCCTATTTCAAAGAAATAAAAATATCTTAAAAAAAAAAAATTGGCTTTGGAAAGGCTGACCAGGCCTCCCGCTGACCAAAGTAACAGTAGCCAGGACATTAGGACAGCAGCCAATGATTTAAAATTTGTTCTTTAATTTTTATTTCTAAGGACGGCTCAGTTACAATATATTTACAAAAACAGACGTTCCTAACAACATTCAAATGATCTTGAAGGTTTGATAGAGGAAAACCACAAAT